GGTGTCTTTGGCACGCCCCCTCCTCTTGTGCCGGCCCTCTTCTTCGTCGACAGCCATGTCAAACTGTTTTCAAACCAACAAAGTCCATGCTCAATAATCCAGGTATGCAATCCAACAATTTTCAGGAGCGTGAATAATAATATATTATTATTATAGTTTAATAAACATTCTTCATTTTACCACAGTTAACATGCGGTAACCCTGCTTTATGTGTTGGAATTTGGATATTACGACTCGTTTAGCTTCGGATTGGTCATTTGCCGACACGCCTACTAGATTGATTGACAGGTAGCCTTGTGGATCAACTCGTGGAAAAAAAATTGCCAGCTGTAAAAAAAAAAAAAAAAGTCTCGTATGACTTTATTCTCGTAATTCTACCACTTTATTCTTGTAATTCTACGACTTTATTCTCATAATTTTATGGCTTTAATTTTTTTTTTCTTAGCATGGCAATGTTTTTTTTTTTTTTTCTTAACGTGGCCTCTGTCGTACATGAGCTCTCGCGATGATGACAACGATTTTGTAGTTATACAACCATTAGCTTGCTTTGGTAACAAATGCTGTTTTAATTGTGCTTTATAAATAAAGTTGACTTGACTTGTAAATTTTGGAGCTGGTCACTCGGTTGTTATAAATATGATTCAGTATTTAAATTTTGAGAAAGTATCTTTTAACAATTTTTTAAAAATAATTTTGAGATATTGTCTCATAATAAAACAAGCTTTTCTATCTCATTGAGATATTTCATCTCAAACATGTGATTAAGTATAATTTATGAGTTGCAACTCAGAGATAGTGTCACAAAAATCTTGATCATCATAATTTTGAGACATTTTCTCATCACAAAATATGATTTAGCATATTTTTATTTTGAGACACTTATTTAACGAGTCAGTAACTCAGTCTTTTAGAATCTTGTTTTCTGGATAGTATTTTATTGAAAATATAATAATTTGGTTATTGTGAGAAAGTATCTGGTTACAAAATAAAGATTTAGTATATCGGTGTTTACCGAGTATCTCAATTAAAAACAGTATTTTCTAACTAAATGACAATTTCTAAATTACTGTGGCACAAATGGGCTTCCGTACATAATTACTTTGAAAACCTTAAACTTTATCCCCCTCTGGTGGTCACTTCCAACTCAGGCACATGTTTGATTTTTTAACCTATAAGTTGCAAGATTAGTTGAAATCATAATAATACTATGATTTACTGATAGAATAAAATAAAAACAGCACAATCAGAGCTAACTTCATCATCCTCATGGCAAAAGTTGTAATTGGGGGCTGCCATTGCATTGCACAGGAAAGCAGTGTGCTGCGAATACCACTATTATTCTACACCCGATAAGGATTTCTTTATAGTGTGAATGGCTTTATAGGCATTCACAATATAGTGATTCACTTTTTCTCCCGTATACCTTTTTTCGGTATCTAACTACTCCCACAGTTTTTGTGCTATTTCAACAAATCATACATCAAAACATTCAGCTGTTTCAGGACATGTCTGCTACGACTTTTGGTATTGGTGCAACTTTAGCTTTTTGAGATATTTAGCCTTTCTGGTATATTTGCTCTCCTAGAAAATGAATGGAGCTCATTTTACATCCTTCATAACTTTTGATTCATTTATAACCTGGTACTACTAGTTTCACATTTAGACCTGGTTATGGTTCTTTCAGATTCCTTGCACAACATTTTAAACAAAATTCAGCTAGTTCAGCTAATTTCAGCTGTTTTGTGGTCCTTTCAGCTTCATTCTGCTAACATCAACATTTTTGTGCTTTTTCAAACTTATTTATGCTTGTTCTGCTCCTTTCAGCTTATTTCTGGATGTTTCTGCTATTTCTGCTACTTCAGCTAGCATTTAGCCGTTTTCATGCTAATTTCATTTTTATCAGCTCATTCAACATTTTTTGAAATCATTTAAACTTTTGTTAGCCTAATTCAGCAAAAACATGTTCCTTCGACATCCTACTAGTAATTGAAGCTTCTTTCTGCTTGTTTTAGCTACTATTAAGCTGTTTTTAGCAAATTCCAGCTTTTCACAGATAATTTCAACTTTATTGAGCTAATATCTGACTGTTTCAGACTTAGTGGTCACACTTAAGCTTCCTCCACTTCCTTTTGAAAATTAAAACTTATTTCTGCATTTCTTTAGCTACTATTCAGCTGTTTTATAGAGAAACTAGGATAACTCTGCCATTTTTAGAGCTATTCAGATGAAACTTGGCATATTGATAGATGATAATGATCCCTAATAGACTTTGAATGAAAATCAAAAAATTCAGCTAGTTGAGCTAATTTCAGCTGTTTTTTTTCAGCTGTTTTGTGCTCTTTTCAGCTTTATTCAGCTTACTTCAACATTTTTGTACTTCTTCTAACTCATTTCTGCTAATTTCAGCTTGTTATGCTCATTTCAGCTAATTTTTGGAAGATTCAGATATTTCTGCTATTTCAGCTAATATTTAGCTGTTTTATGCTATGCTGTTTTAACATGTAAGGCAGTGTATTGCCGTGCAAAGCCATTTTGGTTAAACATGTAAGGTAGGTGAAGCTGCCATTTTGATTCAACATGCAAGTTAGGTGAAGCAGCCATTTTGATTCAAGATGGCTACTCGGTCATTCTTTGAGTTATTGAGCTACAAAACAGAAACTCATTGGATTTGTTTGAAACTCACAGAAAGTAATCATCAGACTTATCTCTAGAGCTGATTAACGTTTGGAGCCATTTTGATTCAAGATGGCTGCCATAGCTACCTCAGCATACATAAAATCCTGCAAAATGAATAACGCTGTGAGCCATTTTAATTCAGCATGCAAGGCAGAGCATTGCCTTGCGAAGCCATTTTGGTTAAACATGCAAGGTAGGTGAAGCGGCCATTTTGAATCAACATGCAAGGTAGGTGAAGCGGCCATTTTGAATCAACATGCAAGTTAGGTGAAGCGGCCATTTTGATTCAACATGCAAG